AAGGAAGAAATGTTTTACGCTGAGGGTGGTGAAGCACTGGCACAGGTTGCCCAGAGAGGTGGTGGATGCCCCATCCCTGGAAACATTCCAGGTCAGGTTGGACGGGGCTCTGAGCGACCTGATCTAGTTGAAGATGTCCCTGCCCACGGCAGGGGGGGGGTTGGACTAGATGGCCTTGAGAGGTCCCTTCCAACCCAAACCATTCTGTGATTCTATGAAACAGCTGCTCCCAGCTGGGCAGTGGCACCATCTCCCCCCCACGCTGCTGCAGACCTCCCGGGATGCAAGCGTTTGTTGGGGTGCAAAGCAGCGGTCCCCGAAGCAAACCTCGCTGAGCTGCAGCGCATCGCTCGCCTGTGCCTCACCCTGGTGTCTCACCTGGACCACGCAGCTCCCTGGGCATCTCCTGGCAGCAAGCCGGGTCCCACCAAGGGTGCCTCACCCACACTGTGGTGGGTGTCGAGGAGAAGGGAGAGGAATTGCCCTCTGGAGGGATTTGTCTCCTCTCAGAGGCCCTGAAGAGACCCTAGACGACATTAGACCAGGAAATCTTAACTTTCTTCTGGCCAAATTTAGGTAAGGTGAACACCACCTTATAAATGGCCCCGCCAGGTAGAGTACCAATAGTGACATTAATTATTTCAATCAATGTCAAGCGGTCGGTGAGTTAATTGAGTTTTTCCTATCCAGTCTAGAGAACAGAGATGAAGTGCCTCGGAAGACGCCGGAGCAGAAATACGCGCTGCCCTCAGGGGTGCATATAATGGCCTGGGGTTTCTGTACGTTACAACATTCCTTTAAAACCATGTCATCTAATGACAGACTTTCTTCTCTTTGTTTGGGGGGAGGGAGAGAGAAATTAGCTTTGTTATACGATTTCCACCCTCTTAGCTATTTCTCATTTTACTTTCCAGATAGATGCACGCCATAGAACACATGTTAACTGCAAAGAAAAACTACGTTCTGCTTTGTAGTACCTGCCTTTTGGGAGTCTTGGAGGAGTAACCCTGCATCCCTGGGCTGCAAGCAGTCCATCAGCCTTGGAGCAGTAACTCGGCGAGGAACCTGCCGGCGAGCAAGCTTCCAGCCCGGTAAACTGAGGCAGGGGTTCGGCCTTATTTAAGAAAAGGGTCTCACGGAGCGGGGATCAAACCAGCAAGTCGGTAGAATATATGAAAATCTCTATAAATGTATGAGAAGCTCTATAAAACTTATGTTTATTGATACAGAACGATGCACGTTCAGGCTGAAACGGGGTGGTTTTTTTTTGGGGGGGGGGTGTTGTTTTTACTTTGGGGTGACTTGTATGAGTTCTTGCGGGTTTATGCCCAATTTTTATGTAAATTTGAATGCATCTCGTTCTCTTTGCAACTGCTGCCATCTTGCATCCCTTGCCTGCTTTCTTGTAATTTCCTTCCTACATTATCTTCTAAATTTTTTTTAAACTACTGTTATGGTGGTACCTTGTCAGTTAAACATAAGTATTGTTATGTTTACGTAAAAACAGTTAAGAGTTTTTAAAGATCATGCTGTCAGGGACATTTCCAGAAGCTGTAGATCAGTATAGTGAAACATCTATGGAGATCAGTTAGGCTTTGTAGAACTAGGGAAAAATATATATGCCTCTCAAATTCTGAGGCCTAGCCTGTGGACCTTATTTATACAAGCAAGAGCATGCTGTTATATTGCTTTAGTATTCATAAATGTCTTACACAAAAGGGACTGCAGATTTCTTTACTTTAAAACTTGCATACAGTTTAAGGGTACCTTATAGAACGAAAGACAGTCTCAGGGGCAATTTCTTAATCACTACTATTAAAACATTACAGCTGCTGATGTAGAAAAGATGAGGAAACATGATGCAGATGAAGCGTTGTCTGAAGACAATTGTATTGTTTCTCAAATAAGTTAATGCGTATTTTTCTGCAGCTGCAGAGGTGTGTGACTTTCTGAATTTCTGTTTATTATTTGTATTTAATATTTTCAATACTGATGCAATTTCTATTAAAGTTTTAATTTATTGTATAAAACTTTTCTGTGGTAACTCCTCACAGAGGTCTAGTGATTTTTGTCAGCATTAGTATGTTTTGATAGCTTTCTACAGAATCGGTTGCTTTTTGTGTTAGAAAGAGGATTTTAACATGGAAATACTTGGGCAATCTCCTCTGAAAATTTTGTCTTACAGTGTTTGCTGGAGTAAAAACTTTCTCCATTTTCCCTAGTAGCTACCCAGAATGCATAAAAGCTTAAGCTTAGGTAAATTTAATTGCAAGACTATTATTGCACGTTTAGATAAACGTTGGTATTGAGCTATTAGTTCATTGTGGCCTGCTCTTCCTCCAGCTTCTATCTTTAAAAAAGGAGTATCTGCAGCTACACTGGATGTAAGCAAGTAATTTCCAGAGCCATCTTTTAGCCATATGCAAACTGTGAGGAAAAAGCTGTATGCAGGCTTATGGTTTTCAGAGGTTTACAACTTAATTATGGGTCCAGCCATCTTCATGACCCCCTTATTCATAAGAACTTTTTATGGCCCCAGATTGCATTTCTACCACCGCTAAACACTGTTCAGAAAGTTCTTTGTTGGAACATAATCATAATGAGGGAATTATATTTTGGGGATTTGAGTCTCAAAAGCCATGTAAACTTTAAAACAATTCATCTTGCAACGGAAAGCTACCCTATTCTTTTCTGAGTGTCTGAAAGGACAACTAGGATGTAAAAATCTGCTACCAGTGTGTTAGTGTGGTAGGAATTGTGATTAAACTGTGCCATAAGTGCCACAGATGTAAGTGCCATAATAGTGATATGAGATTCCAGCGATTGGATGATGAAGGTGCAGTTGATTTTTATTGTTTCTTATGAGACAGGTCTGTTACTGTTGTAATTTTTGGTTTTAGATTGTCATAGGTCTTCTAAGGATTGTCCAGCATGCTAAGTGAGGAGTTCTTAATTTGTAGAAAACCAAGTGATTAAGTAAATATCTTTCATTTACAACATAAGTACTGATTTGTATTTTGCTTATGTTAACTTACAGTTAACAGGCACAACTGGAAGTTTACCTCCAAAATAATTTAGGAACTATTTGGTATTGCATACATGCAGTTCCAAGCCTATTACATGTGTAATAAAAGTACTCCAGTAATTTTATGTGTATAAGAATAAAATTAGCTGTTAGGTACCTTTAAAAAATAACCACACTGAGACCAGCTAGCTATACGAGGAAATTCACTGGAAATGTTAAATATGATGTTCACTACTCTTTGCTGAATTATTTTCTCTTTTTCACTGCTGCAGTCTCCAGACCTTCTGGCTTGATGGGAATTTCCTCACATCCTTACCAGAAGAACTGGGAAGTCTGCAACAGCTCAGCTGTCTTGGACTTTCCTTCAATAACTTCTGTGAACTGCCAGCAATTTGTGAGAAACTCATCATCTTAGACAAACTAGCCCTGGCAGGGAACTTGCTAGAGACCCTGGGCCTTGCAGTGCTGCGAATGAGTCACATCAAAAGTGTGGACCTGAGGTAAGGGGGGGAAACTTGCATATGTGTATAAAGCAGATTGCTACTTTACGTTTACAGCAGAGGAACTGTGTAACTTCTAGTACATTTTGCAGGTTTTTTTTCTCTTACTGATTCTTTAGCTTTTAGGGAGTTCTGTTTCTGAGGGTGTGCAGAATTCACTTAGAGAAACAAGGTTAACTGAGCAATGCCTTAAGCAACTGAATGTGACTCAGTCCTCTAGTTTCCTCTTTTGATATGCTGTTACCATGAGCTTCGGTAGCTCTTTGATCTCTCCTACCCTTTTTTGCACACGCACACACACACACCCGCCCCCAAGATGTGATCCTGATTCTCCAGACTGCCAACTGCAGAGCTCTCAGAAAGGGACAAAGAACTTTTTGTCTGTGGCAGGGCAGTCTAGTATCTAGTCTCTGCATTAGCTTCCTGTGTCAGTGCAAAGTAGCTGTCCCTTGGCCTGGCTTCTAATTTCTAGACTGGTCTTCAGAATCTCTTAAACATTGGGGAATAAGTAAGACGGTTTCACATAGCAGTGCAGACAGAGGAAATGTTTTTCTTCATATTCACTGCCCGAAATCCACCATTGCTCCTCACACATTTCACTGTGCTCACCTTTGGCATTAGCCTTCACCAGAACTCTTCCTTTCCTTTTTTTTCTTCTCTCTTCTTACTGATGTCCAGTGTTCACAGTGTCCTATTTTCTGACTTTGTAACTCTTATCTCTGAGTGTTTAGGCTGAACAACCTGAAGAGAGCAGCAGCTGACACTCTGGAGGGGAACAAATCTGTGACTTACATGGATTTACGAGACAATCAGTTGACAGATCTGGATCTGAGCTCCTTGGGCAGCCTGGAGCAGCTGCACTGTGAGCGGAATAAGCTGAAAGAGTTGACACTGAGTGGCTTCTCCCTTCGGGCCCTTTATGCCAGCAGCAACTGTACGTCTCTTTGCCTTCTTCACCTGCCTTCTTCCTTCAAGCCCTGGGAACAAAGGAAAACAGCCCTTTGCCCTCACCCCCACAAAAAAAAATACTTACACTGATGTTACAGTAGTGAAACTGTATGTGATGGGTCAACTGTATGTGGGGTCAGCTCCTGGGGATCACATATGCATGTATGTGCACAGGCTGTGTAACAGGGGGAGGTTGTGGTGTTGAGTTACTGTCCAAGAAGTTCATATTCCAGTGAGATCTGTTTGGGAGTCCACAAATAAAAGTACAGTTCTCCCTTGTTCTGGTGGACCACGTGGCAGATGGAGAGACGGGATAGTGAGAAGCTGTAGTGCCATATGGCAGATGTATGAAGTGTGAACTCTGTCTTGGGAAGGATGAGTAGAGACCTTGAGTATCCATAAAGTAAGACTATGAGTCTCACTAGCTAGTCTGTCTGCTTCTCTGTGCTGTTTTCCCCCTGAAGCTCTGCAATCATAATTATTTGCTTTACTTAATCAGGTCTGACAGCTGTCAATATTTATCCGGTTCCTGGTCAACTGACGTATCTAGAACTCTCCCAGTAAGTGACTATACACCACAGAATATAAAGCAAGTATCTGGACACCTTTGCTGTTTTCTGCAGAAATTTTCTGGAGCTTTTAAGCTTTTGAAAGAGTTAAGAGCAATTGAGGAAAGGCACTCCATCTTCACTGGAAAGCCCAGCACTGAAGAATGATGAAAGTTTCCCAGACCAGAAGCCCCTCTGAACCAGTATGACCTGTCTGGGTGACTGGCTGTCCTTCAGCTGTAGGCTGTAATCAGCAAAAAAAGCCAAGCAGGGACCACTGAACTTGTGGCAACTTACTGGGCTGAATGGTGGGAATCTGTGGAACAAACCTTTAGAGTAGCTGCCAGTGATCTCTGCTGTTGGCTTCGTTCCCTATGTCTGCCCTTGGAGCAGCGTTGAGAGACCTGTAAGATAGGTCCCAGAGGACCTGATTACCTTTTGCTTCAGTTCTGGGTTGAAGCGTGATAGCAGGATAGTATAGGTTAGCCTGTTCTGCTGATGTCAGTGCTGTAAACAAAAAGCCTGTTCATCAGAGCCTTGCATCAGTACTTTCTACCAATCATGCACCAGCTCAGTTTGCATTACACAGCTAGCTGTGAGATAAATTCCACGTGACTAGCTTGGATACTGTTGTTCATTTTCTGCCTATTGTTTTTGGTTTGGCTGTCACTGATGTCATGCAGCATTCGAACAGGGTATGTTCCATATGGAGTGCTGGTGTCTAGCTTTTCCCCCTTGCTTTTCTCAGCAATCACCTGCAGTGTGTCCCAGACTGGGCCTGTGAAGCAAAGAAACTGGAAGTTTTGGATGTGAGCTACAACCTCCTTGTGGAGCTTCCATCGAGGTCAGCAAACCTTCTTCTTATACAGAGCTCAGCTTTCTTCTATGGTGAGCTGACTGGGGACAGAGAAGCAGTGCTATTCCAGTTGCTTTATTTCTTGTTGTGCAGAGATATAATCCACTTACTTTCTCTGTGCAGTGTCAAAAATACTCTGTATTCAAATGTTGGAAAGAATTGACTTCCAAATCAGCTTCTTGAATAACAGGGGCCAGGTAATTTCATCATAGAATCATTAAGGTTGGAAAAGACCTCCAAGATCATCGAGTCCAACCGTCAACCCAACACCATCATGCCCACTAAACCATGTCCCTAAGCGCCTCATCTACACGTCTTTTAAATACCTCCAGGGTTGGTGACTCAACCACTTCCCTGGGCAGCCTGTTCCAATGTTTAACCACTCTTTCAGTAAAGACATTTTTCCTCATGTCCAATCTAAACCTCCCCTGGCGCAACTTGAGGCCATTTCTACTTGGGAGAAGAGACTGACACCCACCTCGCTACAGCCTCCTTTCAGGTAGTTGTAGAGAGCGGTAAGGTCTCCCCTCAGCCTCCTTTTCTCCAGGCTAAACAACCCCATGAGGTTCCCTCAGCTGTTCTTCATAAGACTTGTGCTCTAGACCCCTCAC